TCACTTCCAAACTGAATTATTTACTTTATGATAATCAGAATCCTGTAGTAAACATTGCCACATGTGTTTGTTCATTTTACAGTTTGTATACAAATCATACTGATTAATATGACCCCATGGCCAGGATCACATTCGTGATTAATAGTTTGAGCACTTCTGAAATAACTGGAGATCCAGGATAAGGCTACAGAAAAAATAAAGGTTGAGCTATGAATAATATCTTATGTCAGTAGCACTGAAAATTGCACAAGCACCAAGAAAGCCCTGACAGTGACTTCGGCAAACAATCTTTAGGCTATTTTTAGACGTTAACTCACTACATTACTTCATTCATTCATAATTTAGTAAGGTCGGTGTCATCATGATAAAGCAACAACTCAAGTGACAACTCAAATCTCAGTGATAAAGCAAGATGAGCAACTATAGCTGGTACTTCATGCATAAAGTCTGTTTGTTTATAAAGATATATAAAGATTTTAGTTAAAAGTAAAAAGTAGCTAACATTTTAGGTTGTAAGCATGACTGACCATGATTTGTTTGACTTTTTTCCTATTTTTGTAATAATCTTTTTGACTTCAAATAGTCGTGGTGTGGCATAATTAATTGTAAAAGTACAAATATTCCAAATATAGTCTGTCAATGTTTTAAAAAATGTTGAGATGTCACCGCAGGACAGGACACCGCAGGACATGTCAAATTTGCTAAAGCATTTCATTACAACCACACAAATTTTCCCATCTCTAATATAGACATCTAAAAAATGACCAAAATATCAAAATATATATATATATATATATTTTTTTTTATATTTTGGTCATTGTATATATACATACACACATATACATATACATATATATATACATACATATATATATATATATATATACAGTATATGTGTGTGTGTGTTGCCTCATTCAGCAGCGCGACAGGGCAGATGTGATGGAGGTTATAACATTTAATGGGGAAATATTCTCTGACAGGATGAGGAGAGCGTCCATGTCAGGAGCTAGCAGGGGCAGGCCAGTGAGTCGTGACCTGGTGCAATCAAAAGGACGCCAACTGTGCGACATCAAACAGACAATCTGGCCAAAGAAAACAATGCTATTGTGCTTTGCTAGCAGGCAAAGGGACCAAATTATGAGTTTACACATCTCTGTACTTGCTTGCAATGAAGTAAATCAGCCATGCATTATACAGTACGATTAAAAAAAGCTATATTTTAGCGCACCATTTATACATTTTCCATTTTGAAAAATTGAACAAATGCATTAATGCACATTGATGGTATTATTCACATGGTCGGTTTGGTTTGGCGAACTTTGGTGCTACTGCTCTGTTAGTGCGGTTCATTTAAATAACTGTGAACGCTGCCATCCGAACCTTGGTTCACACCAAACAAGTGGACCGAGACCAAACCTATCGGGTGGTTTCGGTTCGCTTCCAAGCAAACTGGTGCAGTTTGACTGAAATACGAATGCAACATGGAGCAAAGACATCTAAACAAACCAAAAACAGGTTTGAGATGCGACATGAGATGCGACCCTAGATCCAGATCCAACTCCTCCCACCTTACATATACCTAAACCTACCCAGCTCCACCCCCTGATCCCAAAACCCACCCCTAAACCTACCCAACTCCACCTCTCAGATCTGGATCCGACTCCGCCCCCTGGATCTTGTGTACTGCAATAATATGCTACTGGGTTTGTGTGTTGTTGGTAAGTTATGTTCTCCTGCAGCTTTATGCAGAGCAAACACTGGGATCCTCTGGCCTTTCAGTCCTAGCTGACCGACCTAACCTGATAACCCTAAAATAAACTTCATGTGACTCATGACGGTGATAAAGCAAACAATACGAGTCATTGCCAAGTTTATAGATAGGAAGCAGAAGCAACCTGTGGAAACTATGAGCAAAAGTCATCAGACTTATGTGTAACCCTAAACTTGAAAAGGTCAAAATTCAAATTACTCATAGGAAGTAAATCTCTGAAGAACATAAAATCTCTTATGTCCTAATACACATTACAGATCTTACTGTGCGTGATGCATAGCTATTTTAGGCAACACAAAAGTCTGCCTTCGTAATGTTCATCAAAATGGATGAATTTCTTTTCGGCTGACAAAAGAAATCTTACTTCCACCTCCAACCATCTTATATCTGTCAGGTAACCCCCACTGTATTCATAATCCAATAAATTGCTAATGAATAAAATCCAGCATACTTTTCATTTTACTTCAAAATAAATCAGATTATGAATATAAAACGGTTGTGAATGCCATTTACAGTTGACTTTATTAGCTTCTCGGTAGTATTGAATCAGTTCAGAATATAAAATAATCTAAGCACAAATAATATGACATGATCTGTGATAGGATCAGGATAAGAAGAGAATGATCAAACACCAGGAGCCTGGATTACAAATAACACACCACTTAGGACAAGTCATCGGCATAAGCCGATATAGAGGGATTCCAGGCACAGTTCAGGCCTTTCTTCTCTCTCACAGTATCATTTTCACATCAACCACAGTGTTGTAGAGGTAGTCTTCGATCCCAAAACATCACAGGTTGAAGGACTCTACATGGCAGACTTATGGAAAGGTAATCTAGCCATATCAATGTGACACAAATTAGACATCATACCCAAGCAAAAACTTTGGATGGCGAAATTTCACATAAAAGGTACAAAAAATTAATTTTCAGTTTAAACTAGGGATGCACCATATATTAGCCACCACGGATCAATATACAGTACATGTTCATTTTTGTTGTTATCAACCTGATGAAAATTTCTCCTTCAGCTGAGACATTTCAGATGTTTTTGAATTGCTTGAAATATGATTGGAATGACTTCAAAAAGGAAAATATGGTCATGTGCAACATGCAAGTCAGACTTATAGGCTACATAAAAAATAATAATGAAGAACATCATGATAATTGTGTGCTTGGGGAGTGGCTTTTAAAGGTGACTTGTTTTCGTAGTCAGGATCTCAAAAATTATATAAAAATTTGGATTTAGACTTATCGGCCAATATATTTTTTTTTAAATATAAAGAGTTATGGGTATTGGACAATTTTCATATCGGTGCATCTCTAGTTTCAACCAAAATAGTTTTGGAAGGCCAAAATTGTTGACTGAAACTATGAATTATAAATTATCTATGAATTATGACTATATATAATGACGTTAACGCATCCCTGATGACATTTTTTTTAACTGTCAGCATCTATTTTTTGTGACCAAAAATTAGAAAACTACACCAGTGGATGGGTGGATGCACTCCATTGTGACCAAAAAGGATGCTAGAGTAGCAATATGTTAAAAAGAAATTCAGGCGAGAACTTTACTATAACTGGTTTATCACCTGTATGCTATGCTGATTAAGCTAAAATTAGCCAATTAAATTTGTTTTTTGGCTAAATAAAAAAAAAAACTCAGGTAAAAATGTATTTCGGTGCATCACTCTAGGTATAGATAAGGTATAGTGCACACTGCACACAAGCAGAGTCTACACAGACAAAATGTTACATTCAAATGTACTTGATATGGATGCTAACTGTCAACATTGCACCAGCATAAAGTTTGCCCTAGAACAAATCCCCCTCCTTCAGTCATGGAAAAAGACATGGCTGTTAATCTGAGGGGTGTTTTCATGTTACTACAATCCCATTTGGCTACAGCACAAAGCTAATGAGATGCTCCGCACAGGCGGATTCTGTGCATCATGCTGCTATTAACAGTCTTAGTCATCATCAGAGCGAGGGGACAGAGACATTCCTGCCAAATGAGCACGGCTGCTCTGACAAACGCAATGTCATGATACCAACATGCCTCTCTCTCTTGATCGGACGCACTCTCCTTCTACATAAATAATAGGCATTTCTGTCTGCAAACAGCCCTGGAGGACTCAACCTTTGGGGTGATGCCAAATCCCCATGGTTACTACAATGCAGTAACTGCCTCAATCCTGTGATGGTGATGATGACGACGACGATGATGTTGTTGTTGCTCATGAGATGAAAAGGAAACAGACCATCCGGCTTAGTTTGCTGGAAAGTAATTTAAGGGAACCTTATACAAAATTCTGTGAACACTGGAGAAAATTGGGCCGATGAGTTTTCATGACTCGTTGAATTCTTTTCAGAGTTCAGGCAAAACTAAAAAAATGTTTATTTATTATTTACTTTCATAAGGTGTCTGTATAATGAGCAATATTAGAGATGGTTTGAGTGGCTTGGGGGAAGGGACAGTGGGTAAGTGGGCATAATTGCTGAGAACAATATTAAAAAAGAGGGTCCCTGCAATTACTTGGTCAATTAACTTGGTTTGAAAACTCAGGCATCATCATCATCATCATCTTAATTAACATAGCTGCATGCCATGAGAAAGCACAGACCTCATATTTCTATGTTCTTCTATTAGGGTCAATGACAATTCATAAAAACAACTGACAATGTGACTCTGTGGCTTAACCAATATGAAAGAAGCCATTTTGCTGTCATGTGACAAGAAAAACATTAAAGGAGAGGACTCTTTTGCATTAAAAGACTTGAATTGTCTTGAAAAGAAAAAATGTAACTTAATAGTTTGACCTTTTTATGAATAGGCATTTCAAAAGGGTCAAATGGTGTAACTCCAAGACAAAACCTTGATTTTCGCGAATCAAAAAATTCCTTGAAAAATGTTTTGAAAATATTGATCAAGTTCATACTTGATGTTACACCACGTGACATTTTTTTAGTCATTAAATTAAAATAATTGTAAAAACTGTATTTTGTAAATGTTTGAAACAAGACTACAACCTTTCCAACTTGTCAAATGACTTAACTAGACTTTATTTTTATATTTTTCATTGACCCAACAACACTTGACAAGCTTCTATCAAACCTGTTGTTTCCAAACAACAAAACAAAACAAAAAACAAGATCATTAGCATGATGCACAAGCGAGGCACCACTGCCTTAACCAGCCATACAAATACAAACGTTATGCTTCTTACCTTTGACTTGAGTCTCGTAATCTGTAATGATCTCTTTTTCCTTTTTAAACTTCACAGGAGGATTCGACATTTTCAATGGTGAATAGTAGTAATATCAATAGTTCAGTTATGAGAATGTTTGTAAACTGACTTATTTTGGGGGCTTTTCCTATTTCCAGGTCGCCCTATAGCGGCAAGTGCATCCCAGAGATTGTTCAAGTTACTCAGGCTGCAAATCCCAAAAGCCAAACGCCGCAAATATTCATAGTCCGAGTTCCGAACGACTCCGCCGTCAATGCTATCAAAACAGAGCGCGCACTGGTAGAGTTTCCTCCCAAACAAGTAACCCTTTCCTTGGGCAAATGTCCACGGTTTGTTCCAGAAAGAGCAAATCCAGCCCTTCAAGCTGTCTTTTAATCACCCGCCGACGAACTGAACAGCATAATGACATGTTACACAGGGCTAGCTTGATTTCCAGCACCCTTTCCTCGGGTCCGTGGAACTGATCGCCGGACAGTTTCACAGATTCTGACTGACCTTAAAGCAGCTGGAAAAGCAAGTGGTTGGAAATGGGAGGGATTGAAGGTGGAGTACGTAGCGGAAATGTGGACGGGAACGGGATTGACAACTTTTCTAACCAGTTGTCCCCGACAGTAATTTTGTTGTCGTTACATACTAATAGATTCAAAATAGTGCATTTTGATGCTAATAAAACGAAGCAGAACAGTTTGAAAACTTGTTGTGATAGGTGTTTTTGAGATTGATATATGACAACGCTTCAAATCATTACAGTCTTGATCATTTAAAAGTGCCATGATTTATGGCAATGACTTTAAAAGTAAGCCTTGTGAATATTTTTATCTTGTTTCAGCAACTCGTTTTAGGAACGCTAAGCAACGCACCAGTGTGTGTTGTGTAGGACGCCTAGTGGCCAGTAATGGCAATTACATGAAAATAAATCACTGTGATGACTGGGAAAGAAATGAACGAGGGCGATTCCGCTCCGGATTTTAACAGAAAAGACATAACAAGTCAGAGTTCAAATTTGTTTAATGACTTTTCACGCACTTTTTACCGTTTACACTTTCAACTCAGATCTATACAATAAATAAAAATACTAAGCGAATGTAAAAGGTTGCAACTTTATTTTATTGGCTCAATTATTAATTTAGCCTATCTATTTTTGTATTTATTATAAGCCTAACAAAGCCCAAAAGATAGGTATTGTATTCATAATCTGAATATGTGGATAAACTGACAGTCAGCTGATGTCACATAGCGCCTCTTACAGGACAGCTGTTTTGTTGCGAGACTTTTATAAAATGGTTGAGCCTTTGAATTAATCTTATATCAAAAATCTTTAGGACACAACTATCCCTCTAAACGAATTTCAAGAGTGTGGAAGGCGTCACTTCTCAATGAAGATCATATTTTAAACTCTTTGAAACTTTTACCATGTTTTCATCTTTGTTTCTTTCACAGATGCCTTTAATAGATTTTATTGCTCCAGACTCCATTAGGAAAAAGAAGAATTATTACGTTTAAACGTAAACGATGATCATAAATATAATAATAATAATAATAATTTTCCACATTATATAGATGTTACAATGTTCCAAAATTAAACATTGATCTAATTTTCCCACATTCATGGGCTAAAAAATAAAGTTTGAAATGTATTTATCCCTTTTACTAAACTGTGTGAATTACTATCAAGTACAAAGAGTTGAGTCAGTGCACTGTAGGGTAAGTAATTCAAGAAAATATTAATTTTATTTGTTAAAATATACATGTTTAAAACTATTTTAATACCATAGGGTGTAATGTGAGTAACTCTAATAGAAAATATTAATTTGATTTGTTCAAATACCATCCCCACCACCAATTTAATTTTACCTGAAATATATACTGTATAAACAAATAGGAAATATTTTATTTTACAACAGCAAACAAGTTTGAAAAATAATCAACAAACACATGAAAAAATAAGTTGACATTTAAAACAAAAATAAAACTCAAAACTATTTTATATTCGAATACATACACTTTTACCACTTAATGCACATGATATATTAAACTACGTATATATTAATACAATATAAGATTGATTAAATAACTAAATAGCAGTAGAATATTATGAGGGGTAGGAGTAACACAGTGATTCACTTAATACAGTTCGGGAAAGTTTTTTGATTCACTAAACAGAACCGGATCATTATTTTGGGAATCAGACTACATTAGTCGCTCTGTTTGTTTCTGATTCAAACATGTTAGTACATTAATACACTAATGTAGTTACGTATACAGCTATAAACTTTAAGATATAAAATCACCAAAATGCCCGAAACACTGTCACTGGAAATGAAAATTCATGGTAATGTCCTAGCAAATACAACAACCAGTTTAGTTAACCATTTTTGTAACTTTTATTTTAAGTGTACATGACATCCACTCCAGCAATGTATGCAAGACTAAATGCTTGATAAATAAAGATCAAGCGGGATCAAAGTAAAATAAATGCTGAAAGCAAAAGACACCTTCAAGAAAAAAAAAAAAAAGACAAAATACAAAACTTATTTCAATTGACTTAATAAATTAATATTTTACAGTAAACATGGAGGGCATTAATGCACAGCAGCATATGGTGAACCATGTATAACAAACAGTAGCATGTATAAAAACAACTAAACAACACGTAAAACACCAAATGAATGAACGGCTCTTAATAAAATTAAGTGACAAGACAAACGAAAATGGATGTTGATGCATAGCATCTGCTCGCTGTCTTTAATTCTTTATATGGGACTCTATTAATGTTCTCCAAACTAGAAGTTTTTGAAAAAGGCTTCCTCCAATACCTCTGTGAATTTGTCCTTCATCTGTTGACGAAAGCCACTGTACCACTCCAGCAGTCTCATCCTCCTCTCTGTTTTTTCTTTCTGGTTCATCCCTCTCTCCCTTTCCAGGATGGCAGGAAGCTCCCTCCAGTCCTTGAGGAAGATGAAGGGTGCTCCTGCATCTTTAAGAAGTCGGAGCGGGGACCGGTTACCAACTGCACAGGTCCCCGGAGTCAGGACGTCCTCCACCACAGGCACAGAGCCATAGGCACAGGCTTCGTAGATGCGGTAGCACTCTGTGTTCACTCCCACCGGACAGAGAGTGAGGTCACTTTGTGCTAATGCCATCTGGTACTGTCTGGAGGTGTCTGCAGTCTCTTGAGGAAGCCACCTGATGACACAAAATGCAAGAAGTATAAAAAAAAACTTGTACAATTTAGAAATGTTTGGGATATTATTTTTTGAAGCAATTTAAGGATTTATGGGTAAAACAGAAACTTTATAAAAATGTGTATTGGCTAAAAATAAACCCATACTTATTAACTGATCATTTGACATAAATATATGTATAATAATATGCTCACCAAGGCTAAATTTATTTGATCAAAATACAGCAGAAACAGTACTGTGAATGTATAATACCAATTTTAAATAACTGTTTTTTATTTTATTAGATAGTTCAGAATGTGATTTATTTCTGTGATGGAGAGCTGTATTTTCAAATCATTACTCCACTCTTCAGTGTCACATGTTTCTTCAGAAATCATTCTAATATGCTGATTTGCTGCTCAAAAAACATTCATCAGTTGAAAATCGTCGCTTTATACTTTTGTAGAAACAGTGACAATGATTTTATTGATGAATAGAAAGTTCAAAAGAACAGCGTTTATTTGAAATGGTCATCTTTTGTAAAATTATAAATATCTTTTGACCAATTTAATATATCCTTTTCTGGAAAAACTTGCTGGCTATGAACTTTTTAATGGTAGCGTAAGTATTTTACAACTTCACTTATCCGCCAATTTTGTGAATGCAAAATGATATACCGGTAAAATCAGACTGATGAAATTTTCCCATAAATACGTACTTCTCTCTAACATGCATGAGGCAATCTTTCTCCATGGCGCTCTGCTTCAGGATGTCCATCAGAGTTTCTCTGGATGAGTTTTTGTAGATAGTCCCAAGAAAGTTGCAGAGGTATGGTCTTACAGTTTTCACCATCTGACCGCTAAGTGTGACCACTGGGAAATGCCTGTATCTGCAGACAAAGAAACAGCACATTATAAACAAATAAACTGATGTTAATTGAAATTATATATATAATATAATATTAAATACAAGTAATTATAAAAGAAAACACTAAGCGCTTACGTGGCAACACCCAGGGGCCACTGAAAGATGTCTTTATCGTTGACCCAAAGACTGTCGTACACAAGAAAGAGCAGGTCCACAAACCCGCCGTGCCTCTTAAGGTAAGGACTGATCCAGTCATTATTGCACCGCTCGTTGCCCAAAAGGACCACAGCAACCCGAGAGACAGTGCGGGCCTGCACCAGACCCTGGACATGCTGAAGCCACTGGATGGAGTAGGAGATTTTCTGCTGCTCACGGCCATTCAAAACCAACACCACACTGTCTGTGTCTAGAGAAACATGCCCTTGGACCACTGCTGGGCCTGTGTAGAAACTGAGGACAGATTATGATAAAAAAAGATGAAAGAATGTGTGACAAAACAATGCTTTACTTACAATAAATATATATATTGTATATAATTATAAATTTTGTATTTAATCTGTCTTTAAGTAAAAAGTGTATGAGGTCAAAACAGCAACATTATGAGAATGTGTACTGGCTAAAAAATGTTAATAAATTCATATTAACTGATTAGCTTACATAACTCATACTACCGCTCAAAAGTTTGGGGCCGCTAAGATTTTTGGGGCCGCTCTTGTGTATTGTGTCTCTAAGCTTATTGTTTCTGTCAAGGAATAAACATTTTTTGACTAACTGAGACTATTTATCTAACAATTGTGACTTTCTTGCAATTGCAATTGCAAGTTTATACCTCATAATTCAGACTTTACAACTACGCAATTCCAAGTTTACATATTTCTGAAGGGGGGGGGGGATGGGTCAGATATGCGAGATATAAACTTGGAATTTTGAGAAATAAAGTCTGAATTGTGAGTTATAAACTAGCAATTGCGGGGGGAAAAGAATTGTGAGTTGTATTTTCCCTTTTCAAGCTTCCATACTCATGCTCACCAAAGCTGCTCTTATTTAAAGGAGTCATGACATGAGAAATCAAATTTGCCATGATCTTTTGACATATAAGAGGCCTTTGTTTGTACCATTAAAACTTCCGGCAAGTTTCAAGTTTTCAGCTTAAAACCAGATTTCAATAATGATACCCAATCATAAAATTGGCCATTTACTGACAAGCCTTAAAGGTGCCACACTTAAAAACTGATCATTTCAGACAAAGGTTTAGAATGAAAGTTGAAAATAATTGTTTTTCTGAATGTATATTTGTTTGTTTTTCTGTGCAAAAAAAAGAATAATATTAACATTATAAGTAAACTGCAATGAATTTATTAAAATAATAACAAAATTTGAAAAAGGTTAACAATTTAAAAAAAAATTAGAACAGGAAAAAAATAGGAATCATTTGCAACATTATAAAAGTCTTTACTGTCGCATTTGATCAATTTAATGCATGACTACCTGAAATTGATCTTCCCAGACTGAATCTCTCCTTCTCTCCATTGGCTGGATTTGTCTGCTGGGATGAGAGGCCCTTCTAAAATATGTTCCCACAAATAAAGTCCTAAGAAAATGTGAAGAAGGAACAATATTTAATAATTATGTTCTTTAATAATGCAAAAAAGCAAAAAAATAATAATGCAAAAAAGCAATGATCTCTGTAAGTTGGAACCAACAAACATATTACACTTGCCAATGGCTGCTTTGCCCCAGATCTGAACTTTATATGTTTTTGGCCTGATTTTAGCAACATGATTTTGATATGATCTGAAGGCATTTCTTCGTTTTTGCAGAACTAATGAGTGTGCACGCTCATCCTCTTCCCATGGGTTCCACTCTTCCTCTCCTCCTTTTCCATTATCTGGAAACACATAAGTTACATTTTATTAAACAAATCTATTGTTTACATGCGATCATAAATGTATATGCTTTTGTTACATATACTATATTACACATATTTTATACATACATACATATTTTACATACGCTATATTATATTGTTTTTCTATTGTAACAAACCCATTAGATGCTGATTATGATTTATTATTTTACCTAAAATCACAGTGCCTTTTTTCACTACTCGATGAACGCGAGAAATAACCCTCTTACTGAAAAACACATTATACGCGGCATACAGTGAAAATATCGCATAAGCCAAAACAACTATGATCGCTATTTTCCGGCGAAAGAATCTCATGTTTGATTTTCAGGTGACCATCCTGCGGATCCCGACCAGTGTGTACGAGAAATGTTCAGTTTTTTTAAAGAAATTGTTCACGTTAGAACGATACGTTCAAGAAGAATCATTCAGCGTTCGAACGAACTGATTCGCAAAAATGAGTCCAACGTCTCAGCACTACTGTTTACATTTTCCCGAGACTGCCTTGTACTGCCTGTTCGAAATGATAACATTATCAAAAAACATTTTAACAAATACTGTGAAAACTAAATGCAGCACTAATTAAAATACGTATTGCGTTTACCATTTAAATATCTTAATTGAAGGATTTGTTTTATAATTTTGGTTTTATAATGCGCTTTCCGTTCAGTCAATCTCCGGTCGACTATGACGTGCTTGAAGGAGGAGCTTCCGATGTTCCATTCCAGCTCTCTTCAGAGGTCGGTGTGACCGTACAAGTCAGGATCTTTCTTAACAAGCAAACAATGATGTCCCTTGCCGCTCGTATGGGGATTTTGTCCCCTTACCTGCAGGCATGTGGTCCGCTGAAAACATTAGTAACGTTACCCGGAGCAGTGAACAAAGAAGTGCTGATGAAGTGTGCTGCGAGTGGTAGGTGATCATATAACGTGGTAGTTAACAGGCTGGGCAGACTCTTCACATTCGGTTATGACATCTGAGATAATGTTATATATAAACGTAAAAGGTCTAAATGAGATGGCTCCTTCTAATACAACAATTAATACATACACATGCGAGTATAGTGTATGTAAAGTGTGTGTGTATAAATATATATATATACACACACACACACACACACTTGCATACAAATATGCATATATAAATTATAAATATAACTGATGCAGTGTGCAGCTAATATTTATTTATTAAACAACCATGTCAGGTATCCATCCCTGGCCATATTCTAGAATAACAATGCTAAGATTCATCTGGCTCACATTGTGAAGGAATGGTTCAGGGAGCATGAGGAATCATTTGCCTCCAGAGAGTCCTGACCTTAACACCATTGAAAGTCTTTGGGATGTGCTGAATTAGACTTTACTGTCCCACTGTCAATACAAGATTGCAGAACAAAATGAATGCTACTCTTGATGAATGTTAGGGACTGGCAGCCAGAGTCACTGTTCACTTTCATTGCATCTTTTTTTCCATTCAATGAAAGTTAACGTCACTTATGTTATGATATTTTTGTGTAAAACTAATTTAAGTAGCATTTTAAGTGTGTCCACTGACTATATCTCCTTTTAGGCCATTTTGGAGCACGCCTTGCTCACACAGACATCAAAATCCCTGACTTCTCTGACTATCGACGTGCTGAGGTGTTGAATCCTAAGGCGTCCTCTCAGGAGAGCAGTGAAAGTAGACGGTCCTTCTCTTACTTGGTGACCGGAACCACTGCTGTGTTGGGTGTATATACTGCCAAGACGGTTGTGACCCAATTCATTTCCTCAATGAGTGCCTCTGCTGACGTCCTGGCCCTGTCCAAAATCGAGATCAAGCTGTCCGATATCCCAGAAGGGAAAAACATGACCTTCAAGTGGAGAGGCAAGCCTCTGTTTGTTCGTCACAGAACAGAGAAGGAGATCACAGCTGAGGCGAATGTAGACCTTTCGGAGCTCCGAGACCCCCAGCATGACAAAGATCGCGTCAGCAACCCCACCTGGGTCATCGTTATTGGTGTGTGCACTCATCTGGGCTGTGTCCCAATCGCAAATGCTGGTGATTATGGCGGGTATTACTGCCCCTGCCATGGGTCACATTACGATGCTTCAGGAAGGATCAGAAAAGGTCCCGCACCTCTCAACTTGGAGGTGCCTTATTATGAATATCCTGACGAGGATACTGTAGTTGTTGGATAGGACAAACAATGGAAATGTTCTCTGTATGCTTTTAATCTGCCTGGCCAAATCTAACTATTAATAAATATATATTTTAAAGCAACAAAAATCTAAGTTTTTGAGTCTTTTGACTAAGCATGCAAGTATTGGGTTACAAATTAACAGATTTCTGTCAGATTCAGACCAAAAAATGTTTAATTAAATAACTTTAAAAAGGCATTCATTCAACAATATTTCCATATGTTCCGTAATTCACACTCCTAAGTGTTCTGAAAATAAACCATGCAATATGCCAGTATTATTTCAAAGAACAAATTTAAAAGTACTATATAAATTAAATAAAAACATGATTATATGCCTGTTTTAACCACAGTACCCAAGCATCCAGCCAAACAATCCCTTTAACACATTTTTTTAATATGTCTGGCTAAATCTATATACTAATAAATGTATATTTTAAAGCAGCCAGATTTATGTTTTTAAGGCTTTTGACTGGGTATGCTAATATTGGTAACAAATCAACACAGGTCAATTAAACAAAACAAAAAAAATTAAAAAAAGCATTAATTCAACAATGTCATCCACATGTGCACAAGTGTTCTGAAAATAAACTACTACACATTATGCCAGGAAATGATTTCAAAGAATATACAGTGCTTGTCAGATTTGTCAGCATCCAATCAAACAACCTGTATGACATGATTATAAGGTTTGAAATGTTTTTTTGTTTTGTTTTTGAGAATATAGTGTCAGTCAACATAATGCACTTCAGCTTGAAGTTCCTTCTGTATATAGCTCAGAAGAGCAGCAGTTACCTGCTGCTGGAGTGTGGCATTTCCCATTACAAGGGCAGTCAGCTGTGCAACATCAGTCCATGTTATTGAGCCTAAGACAGCTGCAATATCCTCACAGAGTCTGTGCTGCTGGTCTGGTGTCAGTTCCATGATAACCTGGGGAAGAGGTTTAAATGTACCACTTGTCATCCAGCATCCAAGCAGTCCTCCAACAGCACCGCCTTAAAAACACAAAGGTGCAGGTAAGAAAAACATCATAGATATTTGAGGGTGACACTTGTACTAAAGGCATGAATGTACTTGCCCACTGCAATTCCCAGAGGACCGCCTATTAAGCCTCCTGCAAAAGCAAGACCACCAGCTGCCGCTGCTCCTTTTCCAGACTGCTTCACTGCGGTTTTCACTTGTTGATTTGCGGATAGTTCACAGCACAGTTTCATTACGTCATCAACCCGTGGCGGCATCTTGCTTGTAGATTACAGTGAAACTCTAACGTGAAAACAAATAAGTGAAAGTGAATAAGTGAAATTGCGTTCTATTGTCAAATATATATATATATATATATATATGTTCATAATCATATATATATATATATATATATATATATAGAGAGAGAGAGAGAGAGAGAGAGAGAGAGAGAAGAGTAGAACATAACACTTTACTATGTAAAACGCTGTCTAAAGAACATAAATAAAAATAAATACATGAATAAAATAAGCCCTGTACACTCACCGTCAAAAGCAACTTTTCGATTCCCTAATGAAAGTATAAAACCTTTTATTTATCTGGTAGTGACCAACGTCAAACTATCAAACACCAACAACAAGCGCTAGGTCATGATTTTTTTTTTTAACTGTGAAGCTGAGCTAGAAATATATTTTTCAAAATAAAATACCTTCCCAGATTGTATGCCAAAAATGTATACCAAGTTTTAAAAGTTAGAGTATTACATTGTGAATTTTATTTGAAAAGATAAATTGAGTTTTAATTTAAACAGCAAAATTTGCTTGTCCTTTAACTAACCAGTAGAGGAAAAGAAAGGCATATACGATATATTTAAATATTTATCCATATTTAGATGTTTAATTTTGGGTAATCAGAACGTTTTTATTTATTTGGTTATTTGGTCATTTTTATTATATTTTTTTATAAACAGCAAAAAAAAAAAAAAAAAAACATTTTCATGTTGATCTAAAATTAAATATTATTTAGCTGACGACGGGATGTTCTCTTATTTTGAAAAGTTTCTTTATCGGTTCGTTTTTTAAAACATCACAGACAGGCAACAATTTCTGTTTTCACATAAATAATTGCACTGAACTGAGCTGTCATCTGAGCTCTATTACTGACCAAGATTGAATTATTCCGTGATATATCTAACTTTGATGTTATATAAGTATAAGTAAATTGTTCCCCCATCTACTTCCTAAACGTGCCCGGACATGTCTAGCAAAATTTGACTTTTAAATGGAGCTCATCATCATCACCATCTCCGCAGAGGCAATAATCGGATGTATCCTGCATGCTGCAGCTCACAACAGATGGTCTGCTGCAGCTGATGCTTGGACATTATGACAGTGCTGGAGACTGAAACTGCTGCTTTTGCTGGAATGAGTGAAAACCTGTGGTTGGAGAAAGCCTGCTCTATCCTTATTCCTGATTTACCATTATGGATCATTGAATATGCATGGACTAAACAGATGACGGAGGTCTTAGAAGGTGTTTCTTACAAAGTCTTTTTTTTATTACCCACACAAATCTGCATGTTAAAAACCCTATTAAACCTGTTAAAAACCTGCATGTTATAATATATTGAACCAATGTCTTTGCAGTGTAATTACACAGTTACTGTGTTACTTGTTTCTTTATTTTTAGCATAAATGGATTGCACAGTTGGTGCAAATGCTACAAAAGTAATAGATAGATCTAGCTAAACGTTAACTTTACCAAGAAGTTTAAAACAAGTGAATGGGTAGGCTTGTCACAATCATGAAATTTGTTCTGACGATTAATTGACATATAGTTGTGATTGAACTATTTAATTTTTATTCATGTCACTGTCAGTGTAAGTTCTTACAGAATCAAATATTACTTAAAAATAAAAATATTATAAAGTGGGCTCATATGTTAACACCCACATTTCAAATGTACCTAGAGCCGATTTGATTCTAGGCCAAATCTGGTTGAGTTTCTGTTTCGAGTTTCAGTGGCAGAATAAAATATGCATATTCAATTCTTTAAATATTATAATATTTAAAGAATGCATAATTTATAGTAATATAGGCCTATATAATGCTGTCTGATTAAACCCACAAAAGTTCATTTGGTATAATTATCTTTGTGTACTATATAAATTCTTGTATTCTTTCACTGGAAAAGGAGACATGATATTGTGCATTTTTATGGGATTTCTTGAAGCGCTTAAATTTCTTTGATTTTTAAGTCAGAATGTGATTGAAATTTAAACTAGACAATTACTGACGTTATCTCAAATAATTGCGGTTAGGTCGAATAATCACAATCAGACGATTCATCAATAATCGAGACAGGCCTATGAATGGGAGATCTAATCAACTTTGACTTTTTTTCAGTTCTAGGTCCTCCATTGTGGCTAGAAGGTGACTGGCATCTTCTGACCCTTGAAGAGCCGTGCAGAATCCGTGTGGTGGCGGCAGAGGTCTGGAGGATCGTTCAAGCCCGAGACATCAAGCATTTTGAGAGAGTCATTGAGTTTTTAGATGTTACATACACACTTGTGCCACGACTAGTGACTCCCATCAAACACATGAAAATCATGTTTGGTCTGCAGACACTGGTGAGACTTTTTTCTTTGATAACAAATATAAATCAACCCATCAGAATTAAAGGGACAGTTTACCCAAAAGTGATTATTTACTCACCCTTATATTGTTCCAAACCTGTATGAGTTTCTATCTTCTGTTAAACACAAAAGAAGATATTTTGAAGAATGTTGGTAACCAGACAGTTCACATGTGACGCTCGCTTTCGGGTTAAGCTTTCCGTGACTGCGCAACTGGGTTATATAGGTTGCCAGGTTGAGATGACAAACTGGTTGAATTATTGTATATGGTGTGTGGATTGTGTGAATATAATGCATTTAATACAAGATCTGGCATCTGGTCAACATTAGACAAACATATTGGTCCGATTATTCATGAAGGAGATATTGGGCCATGCAAATTACGGGAGTTTCCTGGAAGAAATAACAAACCGGGAGATAGGGCTGAAAAACAGGAGTGTTTGCAGGTATGAGGTATGGAACAACATAAGGTTGAGCATATTTTTGGGTGAACTGTGCCTTGCTGTCATGTAGTTTTCATATTGTATGAAGTTGTTTGCCTTTGCATAGCTGTATTACAATTCACAAGCTTTTTTGTTTTGTTTTAGTCTGTCATGTGGATGTTGTGGAATGACCAGAGTACTGCTAAAATCTCTGACAAGATCAAAAAGTTTTTCCCTAACAGCCTGCCCGAGTATCACAAATGTGTAAGTTTAATATTCCTCCACCAGGGGCCACTATAAATACATAAAAAGCCAAAGTGTGAGGTGTAATGTAAAAAAAATGTCTTCAACATTTAAAATAGTTTTTTGGACTACTGGGCTTTTTAAGACATTCCTTTACATTTCCTTAAATCATGCTTTTAGAGCCGCAGAAACATGGATCTGATGCAGAAGAACCAGAAGGATTTCAAGTCCTTTGCTCATTGTCTGGCAAGAGACAGAGACATGCGCGAGAATTATATTCGGGTTAGTGAAAATAAATGACCTGCTGTCTTAAAAAACGTTATGAAATACATTTAATGGTGCATTATGTATATCAGCACTAGTTTGCATAAATTTCAGATCTTTAAATCAAATGTGACCATTCAACGTTGCAGGATTTAATGGAGGAACAATATGGTGAACAGTATGCACAGAAACTGGAGGAGAGACTCTCACACTATTTGAGAGAGCTGGATAAAGTCCTACCGCAACCTACGTATATTGAACAGGTTAGTGTTTATGTACATTTGTATCTAAAGTCACGGCTTGTACTATTGAGTTGTTTTTAAGACGGGAATTGCTATTTTTTGTACTTATTTCTTTGTGCTATTATTTTTCTAAAAATAATAGTGCACAAATTGTTGCTGACAGACCACTTAAATTTGTAAATATATTGGTTAAATTTCAAGTCAGGGTTCCTGTGGGTCCTTGAAAAGTCTTGAAATTAGCTTGACAAATAACGCATAAAATGTCTTAAAAATTATCTTAATTAATTTAATGTCTTAAAATGATAATTTTAAAGGGTTCTTAACTTTGGGAATGTAAAAACAGATTTTAAACAGACTTTAAACTTAGTTTGGAATCAGCTGTTGGAAGTAGTAAAGCATAGATATTTCAAAATAAGAGTACCATGCATATCGGTCTTGTTCTTTATTATTTGTATTTTGAATACGCAATAAACTGTATCTTGCATTAACTACAATGTAAACTCTTGTGGTTTATCTTTGGGCTGCCTAAATGCTTATCACAGGAAGGAAAGTCTAAGAAAACTATTTTAACACACTTAAAATATAGATTTTACAAGTATCAATCTGTTTATTGCCGTTTAAATTAGGGCTGTGCAAAAATTAATTGCGATTAATCACATCCAAAATAAAAGTCTGTGTTTACATAATATATTTGTGTGTGCTGTATATAATTATTTTGTATATATAAATACCTATGCTTGCATGTATATATTTAAGAATTATTTGCGCTTAAATTCTGTATATATATATATATATATATATATATATATATAAATACATAATCTATATTATATAAATATTTTATATATGAATAACACATTTTCTTAAATATATACATTCATGTGTGTATTTTTATATACAAAATAATTATATACAGCACACACAAATATATTATGTAATCACTGACTTTTATTTTGGATGCGATTAATCGCAATTAAGTTTTGCACAGCCCTAGTTTAAATATATTATTATTGTATCTAATCTGTCCACATATGCATATGAATGTGTCTAGGTATTGAAGCAGTCCCATCTGTATGGGAGGGGAGAGAAGATCCTGAAAAAATTACTTTCAAGGGATAGTGCGTCTATAGCCACATTTTTAAAGAGGCTCCTATATGGTGGTGAGAAATATGGTTTTGGCTTGGCAAATCATATCAGCATTGAAAGTTGGAGTTTTTTTAATTTTCATTGGCATTTTCTCTATATTGCAGCTGTAACAACAAATCAGAGCCTTGATGACAGTTTCACACCATCACTTTCAAACAGTTGTGAGGAACCAAAGGACGATAAAGTTGTTAAGCCATCCCATGGTACCCTCCATGTAATTTTGAGGCCATCTCAGATCAGCTCAAAGGAGGAACGATTCTCACAAACCAGCACGAAAGAGCTCTTTAGTTCCCAAGGCTTGTGGCAGAATAGAAACACAGAAATCATTTGTAGTAATGGAGAAATCGTTACGTCCACACAGTTGTCAGGTTCAGAAAAGCATCAGATTGACTTTAGCCAATCTCTTCTGGTCAAGAAGGACCTGATTTGGAGCCACAGACAGGCGAAGACTCAATCTGAACCAGAACAGAAGGAAAGTGAGGCTGGTTTTCCAGAACAGATGTGCACCAGACATGGCAAAAAAATGAGGAGCATCCTTCAGGAATGTTCTGAAGAGCTTGATGAAGAAGCTGTACAGGCAGAATGCACTCCCACATCAACCCAAAGCACTCCACCTCTTTTCCCACACACACCAGAACCTCAAGCATCTTCAAACCAGCACTCCTCATCCTCAAACCCTGATTCATCCTCTACGAACATTTCAATGTCTTACATGCAGCAGGTCAGTCTTACACCAGTGTCTAAGAAACCAGTTGCTCCTTCACCTTCAGTCCACCAAGAGTCCTCATCATCACCTCAGTCCACAGCTTCAAAGCAACTTGTCACCCCAAGAATCACTGCAGGACAGATGTTAGCTACTGTTGTCTTCACCGAACCAAGCAGAACCAGTGAACACAATCTGAAACTGTCCTTAGAGAGTCAAAGCTTCCTCATGCAGTCCAAGTGGCTTCAACCTCAAGTGTGCCTTAATAGACTGAGCAAGGAAGAGTGCGCCAGAGCCACAAACTCATACAGTTTAGAAGGAGAACAAGCGGCTGAACATGATCAATACGTGTCGTTTGATGTAAATACACTGTATTCTGATTCATACTCCGAAGATTCAGACTCAACAGACTCTGATGACCCTGATTACAAGCCTAAGCGAGACTAAAACAGAGGACACCAAAGAAAAAGTGCTAGTCATGTTTTGCAAATGCATAGGTACTCAAAACTCTGTTTTAGCGGGTTCTTAAAAATACATTTTTAGCAGATTATGTTTGAATGTTTGAAAAAAAAATTGAACTAGGGTTGAAGTTATACACACCTTTTTTACCTTTCCTCATACCTGAGTTCATCCTCTACGAACATTTCGATGTCTTACATGTCGCAGGTCAGTTTTTAACCAGTTTTTGTTCTCTAAGACAGTGTTTCCCAACCCTGTTCCTGGCGGCTCACCAACACTGCGTGTTTTCTTTGTCTCCTTTATCAAACACACCTGATTCAACCCATCAGCTCATAATCAGGTGGGTTAATGAGCTGATGGGTTGAATCGGGTGTGTTTGATTAGGGAGACAAAGAAAACACGCAGTGTTGGTGTGCCGCCAGGAACAGGGTTGGGAAACACTGCTCTAAGAAGTTGCTCCTTCACCTTCAGTCCACCAACAGTCCTCATCATCACCCAAGAATCAATACAGGACACATTTTACCTGCTGTTGTCTTCACCGAACCAGTGAAAACATTCTTAAAAAAATGTCCTAAGAGAGTCATAGCTTCCTCATGCAGTCCAAGTGGCTTCAAACTCAAGTGTGCCTTAATAGACTAAGCAAGGAAGAGTGCACCAGAGCCACAAATTCATACAGAACCCATGACGTTTTAGAAGGAGAAAAAGATGTGGAACATCAACGTGTCTTATTTGATGTAAATAAATACTGTATTCAGCTTCATACTCAGAAGATTCAGACTCTGATGACCCTAATTCCATGCCTAACTAAAACTTAGGTGCCAGTGATAACATGTTTTTTAGATGCATAGGTACTCAAACATTGATTTTAGCAGGTTACGTCAGTTTACGTCATGAAGGTTAAAGTGTTTGATTGGCAATGCTAAAATATTTATATCCTGTTCTTTTTTTGTGATTAGTCTTTTACCTTGATTGCCCTAAAGGTTCTATGAAGTGAGTATATCTAAAACCACATGCTGTTGGTTTAGTGACGCATTTGGTGGGTTAAGGTTATCACTGGGTCTCTGGATGATGTTTCGATAGTGGATAGTTGTTGACATGGTTCGTTGATTGACTTGGAAGGGTTATGTAAGTAAGGACAGACATTTTGGATTATGATGCGATTTAAGTGAACCCTTAATTCCCTGCAAAAAAAATAAAATAAATAAAATGCGTATCTATTTTTTTCGTCTTGTTTCCAGTCCAGTTATCTAAAAAAAAAAAAAAAAATCTTAAATCAAGATGCGTTTACTATACAAGTAAAATGACAAGATATTATGTCTAAAAAAAATCGAAATTGAGTTTTTGCTTTAAAGAAGCAAAATTATCTGCAAATGGGGTAAGAAATCAGTTTGGATTAGGAATATTTGTCTTAGCCCATTGTCAGATAATTTTACTTGTTTTAAGCAAAAACTCTATTAACTTATTTTTCAGAAAATAAGACATTACCTTATGCCATTTTACTTAGCTAGTACATTTTTTGATCTTTAGACTGGAATCAAGGCAAAAATACTATGTAAAAAGGGCATTTTTGCAGTGTTTACCTAGAATGTCATGGGTTGGGTTGACCCTACTTTCAGTTTAGATGGCTCATCAGGGCAGATAAGTGTTTTAAGGTTTATCTTACTCTCACTAATTTAGTGTTGAATGTGTACGTGTTCTTTTTTTACAGGTTGTTATGCCAAGTAAAAAAAAAGGGGTTTAAATTTCAAGGTTATTTTCTTACCATATGACATTAAAGGATAGTTAACCCAAATTGAACATTGTGTCATTATTTACCTCATGTTCCAAACCCTTTTGACATTGTTTACTTTATGTGAAACACAACACGAAAATGTGTTTGTCACTCTTACTGATTTGAGTTGAGAATGAACTGTGATTTGAATAAAAAAAAACTTCACAAAGAAGTTTTTAATTTTTCAATATTGGACAGCTGGCAAAGGCTTTGCACATAATAATAATTTTAGCTGCATAATAACAGATTGTTCTTAGTTGCGGTGTTGGCAATACTAATAAAACCACCAGCCCCCCTAAAAATGTGGGCTTGACTTATGTAAGACACATGTGACAATCAACCCCTTTCATTCTCATTACAGCTGTTAGAGAATACTCTTCAAATAATTTTTAATGATAGGGATTCTTATCGGGATTAACATTATCGGGATTCTGAAAAAAAAATACTAGGGTTTAACCGATAAACTGTTCTTTGTTTCTCACATTTGTAATTGATAATGCACCCTGGAAATCGGTGAGATATATATTTACTGTTATTATTATTAAGTTAGCCAGTAATACACCTAAAAGTAAAAGAAGTCGATATTCACCATGCGCATTTCTCTAACTTTTGTTTGTGTTCCTCGCGCGTTTACGCATCAGATCACGTGCATACATGTAGATCTTGTGTATCACCGCAAGCCATAACAAGAGGAGGAGGTTAAACCCCCAAACTACATAATTTCTAGATGTATGATGTAACGGGGGAGTTTTGGACTGCCCTCAGTCTCCACCAATGGAAATATGGATAAGGTTCAACACCCATTGTGGAGGTTCGGTATAAATTCGGTCTATGAATCAATCTATCCACATATTTATTTATCTCATTCCCAGCCATTGGATCGTGATTTTTTTTTATTTATAAAAAGCTGCTTAATAAGGTATTTATGTTACATTTGTAGGCCTATATTGATTTTAAAACTACCATATATTGACCTATTCGTTATTATATTATTAATTTAGTGTTTAAATACAAAATGATAGGCTCTTTTTTTGCATACTTATTTTAAACAGAAGTTTCAATTGGCCTATTATTTTTTGATATTTTAGATTTGTGTCACATCAAGAGGCTAATACAATTCTGCAGTCATATATTAATCAGATTTAGAATAGTTTTTTTTTGTCATATTAGCTGTAGCCTAATTTATTTGCCAGCCATTTTTCATATTTGCATTCTGATGTTTGTCTCATTTCTGTATAGTTTCTGTCAGTAAATTTCGCAACAATTTTTATTTTTAACCGAGCTCTATTTTAGTGGTTGCTGAACACTATTTGTTATTTGTTAATAAAGTAAGTAAAATAATAATAATAATAATTAAATAAAATACAAACAATTTTTGTCGTCAGTCGAGCCTAAACGTAATAAAAAAATATTATAAGTAGGCCTATTCGTTAACATAATGTAGGCTACACTTTCAATGTCATATTTTTCATTCCTTAGACGTCATCTGTCTTAAAAGTGCATAGACCAAGAAAATGTCTTTTGTGGTAAAAATGAACGGAGCCGTGAACGATGGCATCCACAGCAATGGAATGAACGGGAATGATGTGCATCATTTGAGCGTCCGGACTCATGTGAGTGTTAACCCAGCCAAACTGAAGAGCAACCGGTCGAGATGGAACGTCAGACCCTCAGAGATGTCCAAGAAAACACTCAACCCCATCCGAGCCATAGTGGACGGGATGAAACTCACTCCCAACCCTGAGAAACCCATGATTGCTCTATCTATTGGTAAGTTATGCGTCAACTAATAGTGTGATCCAGTGTGTTCAAAAATGGATAATGCAAACAGCCACTTGTTTGTAAAGTGTTAGTTTGCCATTTCATTTAACGTTAGCCTATACTCTTATTATTTTACAATGTTTTGGATTTTATGACATGCTTAATGTTTGTTTTCTTGTCTCGTTTAAATTGTATCATCATGACTCGCCGTTTTGCGGAAAAATAAAATGTTTAATGTATGCTTCGTTCTTTCTCCAGGTGACCCTACTGTGTTTGGCAACTTGCCAACAGATGACACTGTTTTGCAGGCAATAAAGGAGGCCATTGACTCACACAAATTCAATGGCTATGCTCCTTCAGTTGGTAAGATTGACACTTTGTGTGTAGAGAAGTTAATTGCTGAATTTTGTATACAACAATAAAATATTCATTTTGATATAAAATCCATTATGCTTTGAGCTTCATCACAAACAATTTCCATTTTGAATAACATTGACAGGTTACCAAAAGAGCAGAGACGCTGTTGCAAACTTCTACAGCTGTCCAGAAGCTCCACTGGAAGGCAAAGTGCGTCACATCCATCATGATTATTGTATCATTTAGATTTAGTTTATCAATACGTTTTATTCCAAAGTATATATATATCACAGCTGGGTGTTTACATAGTTTTCATATCATGCTTTTGTAAATAGATGATGAGTAAAAATTCATGATTTTTTTTATTTTATATTTATATAAATCTGTAGGATGTGATCTTAGCCAGTGGATGTAGCCAGGCTATAGAGTTGGCCATCAGCGTGTTGTGTAACCCAGGGGACAATATCTTAATTCCATGCCCTGGATTCTCCCTCTATAAGACACTGGCAGTGTCTATGGGCATCCAAGTGAAGCACTACAATCTTCTGGTGAGTAAATCACACAGACAGAAGTCTATCATCAGATGCACATGTAGTCTGAAAACATGAAACAAACTGACTCTTTTAGAAGGACATTTGTTTCTATCATCGCTACATTAGGGGGGAAAGTGCTATTCTTGCTTAATATTTTTGTCTTGTTTCGAGTCCAAATATCTAATAATTTAATCAATATGCAATAGATAAGTAAAAATGCAAAAGATATTCTGTCTTGTCTTCTGAAAATAATAATAATAAGCGAGTTTTTGCTTAAAACAAGCCAAATTATTGTTTAAATAATTGTTAGATATTTTGACTGGAAACAAGACAAAAATACTAAAAGAATAGCATTTTTTTTGCAGCGTGTGTACACTCATGTGAGATAAGAGGTGTGTCAGGGGGGGCACAATACTATTGGACGGTTTGTGGAGTGGATGGGGGAAAATGCTGTCTCATTCCTAAATGGTCCACATCTGGGACCGATTATTGAAAACAACACATGCAATAGTACCACTGTTGTTATGTAAGCTTCAATTTATACATTATAGATAAATGATTGTGTTTACTTAAAAAAAAAATAATGGTAGATGCTATCACTGGTGGAATAATTGTATTTGTATAAATTAAGCGAATTGTTGAATTTAATAGTTTTTGTATTCTTTAGTGCTCATATAATCCCTTTTATCAAGTTACAATACCTATTGTCAATAGCGGTGACTGTGTAATACATAAGATGAATTTCTTTTGACTCTTTAGCCGGAGAAGTCCTGGATGATTGATCTTCAGCACTTGGAGAGCCTGATTGATGATAAAACAGCCTGCATGATCATCAACAACCCATCCAATCCGTGTGGCTCAGTGTTCTCCAAAGATCACCAGCAAAAGATCCTTTCCGGTGAATGCACTGATTTACTCTAATCAAATGTGAACAATCTGTATCTCAAAAAGAAGAATTCCATGATATTAATCGGCTATTATTTTGTGTGGCCTAGTGGCGTCAAGAAACTGCATCCCTATCCTTGCTGATGAGATCTATGGAGACATGGTGAGCTCATAATGAATACGGACACGCCTGCATGACGATGCATTTTCTTTCTTAGACCTCTTTATTTTACAAGCTCCTTCAAGCGTCTTTGATGAGTTACAGACCTCAAGTCTTCACACAGTGGTCTTTTATGGAGTTCACACTCTAAGCTCACCTATGACCCCTGTTAAATGACGAGTCTGGCTTACATAACCATTTTCAACTGTAGCTAATTTTAGTACACTCCATTAAGAAACGTTTACCAACATAAAATCAAAAAAGGCATAATGTTTGAGTGTTAGCGAGGTCTAAGGAGTAAAATGCATGTGCGCAAGTTGCAAGAAAAATTTGGACATAATATGCACTTTATGCTGCACAAAAGCTACTTTATAGTGAATTTTGTTTTATTCAGATTATTAAAGTGTTCTTCACACTAAGAAAACAAAAAGAGGAATCAAAAATGGTTCTTTATGGCATTACTATGAAAGCCATTTTAGTGTACAGCTGTAGTGAACATCCTCTTGTTGGGTGGTGTGCATTTCCCTGGCTCAGCTCAGCCTCGACCAGCAGTGGAAACCACATCAGCACTGGAAGGATTATAGTTGTGTGTGTGGTGAATGGAAGCCTGACAGCATTTTGAGCTTTAGGTCATGAAGGACAGTGAAGTTAGAGCTGGGGGCAACAGGTCCACGACTCAGTAGTGGCCGATAGAGAATGTGGAGAAGGGTGCCTTTTCAGTTTAGCCTCTTCCTCTATAGGCATATTTTGGAATTCCACCTGAATTTAACACACCCAAGTTTAAATATTCACCCTAGACACACACACTGTAGGAAATTTAAAAAGCTAGTGTCATTGTACAGAAAACCCTTCAAATTTACTAAATCAGATTGAAAAACTTCATAAATAGCATGTTATGCTTTTAAAATATTCAGATAAACATAAAAAACTTGGCCTTTTTTAATTTATTTATTTTGTATTCTGTTTTTGAAAAATCTGTTATGCATGTACTGTTTGCTCTGGGGACCTGCTGATTATATTGCTTGACTACACTAAGTCATAGTATCCACCAGAAAAAAAATATTTTTTTCTCTATCACATTCTGAGCAAGACTTATTCAAATATAACCGAAGGGAGGCAAAGCATCATTTTTAGTGCATATGCATCCTTTGGATTTTTCTAATATTGCTTCCATGCAAGAGAACACCTTTTTAGCTGCTTTTCCATCTTCAGATGCAATTTTTTATTCGAAACACTCGAAAAATACTAATATATCCACAAATTTTCAACCTCAATCAAAGACGCGTGTGAAATGACTAAAGTAGTGATTATGTACACTGAACGAATCTATTACTTTCGTTTCGTTCTCCATACATTAATAAGAACATTTAATTTAATTGAAAGGAGGGTTTCATTTGTCTGTCCAAAATAATAATTTGGGCAATACATCACAGGGAAGAAACAATTGTATATTGTTTGTTTTGTTCATTCATTATTTTATTACATTAACAGTTACGCTGACTGAATTCCAACTAAATTAATAAATAAGTGGGACCCTTTCAATTAAATGAAATGTTCTCATTCATTTATGGAGAAAGAAAGAAATAGACTCATTCAGTAAATGAAACATTTTTACAAAAATGTAAAAAGCAACGTGATGGCAGAGCTTTCAGCTTATAGAGTCCCTTGTCATAGAGTGGAGTGCTACTAAGTTAGGCTACAACTAAGTGCTAATGTGGATTTCTGTCTATATAATAAACATTTACCAAAACCTCAATTAGGTTAATTATACATAAAGTAAGACAGAAACACACCCGTTCACCGCTCATTTTCCCATGGGCAAAGGCGAGTACGCATTTCACATCAGTGTTTCTCCCAAGAGAATAGCGTGAAATTGATCCCTTGTCTTAGCGCCATCTACTGTTCTAGAAGAGGAAGTTGCTCATTTGTATTTGTGAGAAAATCTGATTCTGCCTGGACGCGGAAAAATAGTGCCAAAAATCACGTGACAGTTTTTCGTTCTTGTAGAATTCTGTTTTGTACTTGTAGAATTTTGGTTTGTACTTGTAGAATTTTGGTTTGTACTTTTAAAGATTTTAATTAGTACTTGCAGCAAGTATACGGAGGCGTATTGCATTCACTTGAAGAAAAAAAATCTACTCTGTTTTTCTGAATTAACGAGTTAATTTTTCATGAGAAAAATTTTTTTTTTGCTCTGTTTTTCTGAATTAACGAGTTAATTTTTCATGATAATTTTTTTTTTGATCTGTTTTTCTGAATTAACGAGTTAATTCAGAAAAAAACAGAGCAAAAACTTTTTTTCTCACGAAAAATTAACTCATTAATTCAGAAAAACAGAGAAAAACTTTTTTTCTCATGAAAAATTAACTCATTAATTCAGAAAAACAGAGCAAAAAAAATTCTCATGAAAAATTAACTCGTTAATTCAGAAAAACAGAGCAAAAAAATTTTTCTCATGAAAAATTAACTCATTAATTCAGAAAAACAAGAGAAAAAAATTTTTTTCTCATGAAAAATTAACTCATTAATTCAGAAAAACAGAGTAGATTTTTTTTCTTCAAGTGAAAGCAATACGCCTCCGTACAAGTACCTTTAGTACTTGCAGGATATTTTTTGTCATTGAAGATATATACGTTTCTATGTATGTGTAAAACATACTATTTGTTTGATAGGTACGTTTTTTATTTGCAGAACAATACGCATTAGTTTGTGAGTGATGTTTTGTATTTACAAAGCACACTGAGTTTGTTTGTGAATCATTGGGTGTGAGTAAAACACGTTTTGTGTGTGTGTGAGGTTTCGGCACATAATTCTCTGCATACCAACGGGTACAGTACTGTGCACCCCTTGTGGCCCCGATGTCTGGACCCTGTTAAAATCCAACAGCAACAAAACATATGAGCTCGTGAAATAGGGCCAACACCACAAATTACAGTATCTTAGCCAATGGGAGATGGGGCGGATCCATCTCCCAGACATAAAAACCATAATCGTAATTAGAGCCAGGTGGACAACTGCAAAACAGCTACAAGAAAGGAATTCTCTCTCTTACTTCCTTTGTAACTTTCTCAAAACCCTTTCTAAACTTCCATGTTCTACAAGGTAACAGCATGCAGAAGATTCTGGAAAGCAGCTAACAATAATAGTATGTTAGCTTCATAATTGTCTACTACTGTGCAAAAAAGTAAAGAAATATAATATGATGCAGGTGCAGGTAGCAGAAATGTATACACTGTCTGCCAAAAGTTTGGGATTGATAATATTTTTTAATGTTGTTAAAAGAAGTATTGATCAGTATATTAGAAGGGATCATGTGACATTGAAGACGAGACTTCTTTTAAAAACATTTAAAATATTACCTATATATATATATATATATATATATATATATATTACTCTTCACAAGTTTGTTGTCTTTAAGACTTTTTTAAGAAACTATGCATTTGAAATTGATCATAGGTGACAGTAACGACATTTCCATTACAAATTATTATTTTTTTGTGTTTTTTTTATATTTCAACATTATAGTTCAACATTTATAATAAATGTTGAACTTTCTGTTCATCAAAGAATCCTAAAATATTTATCATGGTTTTCTACAAAAATATTAAGTAGCTGTTCAATGTTGATAATAATAACAAATGGAGTTTTTTGCACCAAATCAACATATTAGAAGTACTGACACAATTTCACAATATTATAGTTTTTGTAGTATTTCTGATCAAATAAATGCAGCCGTGGTGAGCAGAAGAAATTATAAAAAAAAAAAAAAAAAATATCGGACTGACCCCAGTTTTCCCCAAAGCCAAGCAAATTATATAAAGATAATTTATTATATTATAAATATGTTTTAAACCAATATTGCTATTTACAATGTTGTAATGAGTTGGCTATCATTCTGCAGGTTTTCTCTGGGTGTGATTTTCAGTCTTTGGCACCTCTTAGCATTGACGTCCCCATCCTATCCTGTGGAGGTCTTGCCAAGCGCTGGTTAGTGCCTGGCTGGAGGATGGGCTGGATCCTCATCCATGATCGTAACAATATATTTGGAACCGGAGTAAGTATTACCCTCTCACCTGTGTCAGAGAAATGCAAAAAAAAAAACAAACAACAATAACGCTTATATTCACTTTAGATTCGAGAGGGTCTTGTGAAACTAAGCCAACGCATTTTAGGACCCTGTACTGTGGTTCAGGGAGCATTAGAAAGCATTTTGAATGAAACGCCACCAGAGTTCTACCAAAGCACCATCAGTTTCCTCAAGGTAAGAGTTGTAGAGCTTCAGAGAGAAAAGCTATTCGGCATCTGACTCTGACAATAATACACTGTTTATGATTCTCTTCAGTCAAACTCTGAGATATGTTTCTCAGAGTTGTCAACTGTTCCCGGGCTGAATCCTGTGATGCCATCAGGAGCCATGTACATTATGGTGAGTGTAATTAAAGTGGTACTGAAATTTAAGTTAATTAGCCTCCCTGCAGAGATCTGTTGAAGTCATGATGGAACAGAAGTAGCGAGATATATCTTCTTTATTTACTCGGAGCACATCCAAGTAAAAACAGATTATCAAACAAGATCTATCGGTTGTTGATTTGATGGCAGGTCAAAACAAAGAAACGTATGCATGGATAAATCATTCACAATAAGATCAATAAACTGGGTGAATTTTTGTTTCATGTAAACTTTGTGCCTAAAACTTTTTGACCGGTCAGCAAGTTGAACATGTTTTTCATTCAGACTGGTTAAGTGAACTGGATTGACAGATTCAATGACAAGATCAGACTCAAAATAATAATTAATGTTCTGGTATTTTTATGTATACTTCAATGGTGCTTTTTGAAAAAACAAAAATGTGAGTAAATCATGTCCGAATTTTAATTTTTGGGTTAACTATCCCTTTAAATGGCCTGATAGACACTGATCACACTTGGCACATTTGCTCACCAGGACGTCCATATTAAGAAGTGAGCATGTTTGCAAAGAGAACAAAGTTGCATGTTAACAAAAGGTTAAATGTATTTTATGCTGGCTCATTCTCAGGTGGGTATCGCGATTGAACACTTCCCAGAATTCCAGAATGACGTGGAGTTCACTGAACGGCTGGTCACTGAGCAATCTGTGTTCTGTTTGCCTGCTACGGTGAATTATTCATCTCCCTATGTTACCTTATTTCTTCATTCACTTTATTGTCTGACCAAAGCTTGGTTCCACCCTTTTTAGATTTCAAATCTGACACCCATGTTGTTTCTCGCTGCAGGCATTTGAATATCCAAACTACTTCCGAATTGTAGTAACAGTCCCAGAGGACATGATGATTGAGGCATGTATGCGGATCAGGGAATTCTGCTCACGTCATTACCGACCTCGGAGCCAAGACAGTCACGAACTAGACCAGTGAAAGAGACAAAGAATGAAAGGTCAAAAGAGGATAAGAAAGGTCAAAAGAAAAGTGGTGTTCAAAAGTGCAAAATGAATGAAATTGTTAAAAGAGAGGACACCGTTATGTGCATTACATGTGGCAATTGAATATTTTTCTTTTCAGGAAACCCAAAGTTCTATGCAAGCAACATATTTATATTTTTTATATGTGCTAATATTACACAGGGAAGGGGTGGGAGAATAGGTGGTTTGGGGGTTATTGTATAAATATTTTTCCATCGTTATGAAATATTTTAGTCTCTATTATTACACTGTAAAAGACATTGTGGTTTGGGAAGGCTTGTGAACCATACAAACCATAAGTAATTTTGTAACTTGCATGATGTGAAGTATTTATCCTATATGTGATGTTTTAGTAATACAACATTTGTAGTGTATATGTTTAATTTGCATGCTCAACCACTCAGAGTCAAAATTACATATATGGAACATATATGACGTCTAATGTTCTTTAATTTTTTTTCCAATTGTTAAACCTCAATTTTTTTTAAATAAAGTTGTATCTCAAAAGTTATTTAAGGAGCAACGTTTTTAATGTCTTATTGGTGCAAATGTACTATTATTATTATTAAAGGTAAAATGTGTAAGTTTTGGCCATTTAGCAGTTAAAAACATAACTGCATGAATTTTGCATAAGAACATTGTTTGGTTGTGCTTCAGCTCGGTGTATGAATATGGTTATCCTACTACAGAAAACATTCACTAAGAGATATGACCAGTTTAGATCTTAAAGGGGTCATATAATGCCATTTTCAAGTTAATTTGATTCTTTAGGGTCTAAATTAAAAGTTTGTAATACACTTTAATTAAAAATTCTCATTAGTATTCATTGTACCTGGTCAAAAACAGCTCTGTTTTCAGCACACTGTTTCAGTGCATATGCCTTTAAATGATAATGAGCTTATCTCACTCCACCCCTCTGTTCTGCAGTGTTTAAAGGTGCTCTAAGCGATGTCGGGTGACGTGACTTCTTGTTGACGTTTAAAGAATTTTCAAACAAAATGTCACATACAGCAAACAAAATTTAAGCCCTGTGTGTATTCAAAATTTAAGCCCTGTGTGTATCAAAATTTAAGAATGCGTAGATATAACACGCCACCTGACTCGAAAGTGGCGTGTATGTTTACGCAAAAATCATGATGTCATGTTGCGCACAGACGCGTCCCATATCGCGTAGCCTGACGCACACCTCCTCAAAAATGTAACTACACGTTGCGACGACGCGGACCGCAAGATCGGTGATTGGTCGGCTTGGTAGCATCGTATTTCCTCCTAAGCATTTCTGCACGTACCTTCTCACGCATTTCCACAAAAATTAACTGTTTTTCCACCTCAATAAGCTCCAACTCCAATATGATCCGCTCTCTTTCAGTCGATTTTGCTTGTAGTAACCTAGCCGCGAGGAATCTAAACACAGTGGAACATTAAAACCCTCCGCCGCCAACTAGCGTTTCGGAGCAGTACTGCAGAGCAACCAAGACCTGAACGCAGAAGTATAAATGCTCACAACGGCGTCGCCTACGTGCGTAGCCAACGCCGTACACTCTCGACGCAGAAGTATAAATTGGCCTTAACATTCAACGTGGACTTCACAAAATTTTCAAAAATTCACTAGGACCCTGTCGACCAATTTTGCCGTTCCCAAAAAAATGACCAAGGACGTTAGTTTCAGGGACAGTGGTATGAAGACCACCCCTGGTTAGAGTATTCTCCTGAGAATGATGCAATGTACTGTTTCAGCTGCAGGCTTTTCATGAATGATGAAAAGTATAAGAGCGGGACAGGTTGGAAATAAGTGGGGTTTAGTCTGTGGAAGCAAGCTAAAGGAAAAATTAAGAAGCATAGCAGGACAGAGTCACACATGCCAGGCATGATTCGGTGGAATGTCCTTAAAAGAAAAGATATGATACAGCATTGGAAAAGGCCGACTTTGAGATGCAAGCAGCCAATAAAAGAGAAAGGCAAAAAACAGGGAGATTATCTACCGACAGATTGATATTATATTGTACTTAGCAAGGCATGGCATTCAGAGGTGACAATGAAAGCCTCTCAAGTTCAAACAAAGAACATTTCTTAGAGCTTGTAGAGTTGGTTGGCCAATATGACAGTGTCTTTAAGCTTAATCTTGACAACATCAAAGAAAAACAAGGATCATGTCAAAAACCTCAGGTGTCTCTCCTCTCAAACCGAATACAAAATGACCTAATTAGAGCAATGGCTATTTATGTGAAACGGAAAATACTGAAGGAAGTAAGGGAAGCGTCAATATTTTAAATTTTACTTGATGACACTGCTGATGTATCACACATCGAACAGGGGGGCTTTGTGGTGCGTTATGCACATGACATGATGTAATGTTCAGTAAACAACAGGAGAACAGCTTGAAAACCTAGTAATGAACTTGCTGAAGGAGAACCAGCTAAAAATTGAGAACATCCATGGTCAGGGTTATGATGGACCTAGCAACATGAGTAGGGCTTACAAAGGACTACAAAAGCAAAACACAAAGGCATTATGTTCATTGTCATGTGCATTGTTTGAATCTTGTATTAGTTGAGAGTGCAAAGTTGAGCATTCACTTTGTAATTTTTTTTTTTTTTACAATAGTTGAAAAACTTTACACCTTCATTGCCAACTCCACAAAATGACATGCAGCTTTTGTTCAAACACAGCAAGCCATAAATCCTGGCCAGCGTGGCCTTGAGCTACAGAAGTTCTCAGACACCCGATGGACCTGCAGGGAAACAGCCCTCAAGACTCTCAGAAAATGCCTCCCTGCAGTGGTCCAATTCCTGGAAGATCTGACCGAGTCTGAGCCATAACTGCGTGATCTAACTGCAGGGGATGCACACATGCTGTTGCACAGCATTAACTTTGAATTTATTCTTTGCTTGAAGATGACAAGACATGGACTTGGCAGCAGCATAAACTGCTCTAAATTGTGTCATTAGCAGAATGAACACACTGAGGACTGAAGAGCAATTAAAAGAAATATTTCACAATGCTACCATTCAAGCAAAACAAGAGGGATCAATGTGCCTGAAGAGATTCCAGGACAAGCAAGGAGGCGAAAAGTACCAATAAAGTTTAAGTACTGCTCCAAATCAGCAACAGAGGACCACCAGCCACAGAGTTTACGGAGGAAGGATGTACTTCACTTTTTTTAGATTCCCTGATTCAGAAACTCCACAGGAACATTTCAAGGGAAGGGAAACACTGACAAAATTGTGATGTCACTGCATTGTTTGATTGAGCCATCAAAGTGGAAAGACACGGCAGATGCTGAAGCAGCACTTAAAGAAGAACTCCAACGCAAAATGAACCTTTGGTCTAATTACACATTGTTACCTAGTCAACCATTATCTGAGATTTGTTTTCATGATTTCCGAATGTAAATAGTTTTAGCTATAAAAACAGTTTAGCCTATAATGCTAGTATATAGGGCATAGAGTAATGACAAATAAAAATCGCTTGTTATTACCACTAACAAGGCTCAAAATAGCCCCACACTAAACACAGTAGCATAAAAAGAGTCCCTACATTCAAACCGAAGCATTGAGAACTTTGTCAGTGTCCATACAGTTTAATAAGAAGATATTTTATACACACAGTCAACTTCACGAATACAGGAAGAAGCCATCTTTGAAAAATAGTCTCTACCAGTCGATCTACGAACGCCGATCCAAGTGTGCTGAACTGTGCAGAATCTCATATGGTCCGTTGTTTTTGGAAGAAACACAAACACGAACCGTTTTCTTCTCTTCAATATATACACGTAGCCTACTGTTCACGCTCACCTTATCACCTTATTCACATCTCACCAGCGCACTTGGATCGGTGTTCGTAGATCGACTGGTAGAGACTATTTTTCAAAGATGGCTTCTTCCTGTATTCGCGAAGTTGACTGCGTGTATAAAATATCTTCTTATCACTGACAAAGTTCTCAATGCTTCGGGTTAAATGTAGGGACCCTTATTATGCTACTGTGTTACTGTGGGACTAATTTGAGCCTTGTTAGTGGTAATAAAAAGCGATTTTCATTTGTCATTACTCAATGCCCTATATACTAGCATTATAGGCTAAACTGTTTTTAGAGATAAAACTATTTACATTCAGCAATCATGAAAACAAATCTCAAGATAACGGTTGACTAGTGCTGCGTTCATGTGCTATGATAATTATGGTAAATACCAAAAGCCGACGTGGAAATGCACATGAACACCCCCTCATGTGGTATTTACCACTGGGCAACTCGTAGAATATTTTGATTGACGAGTTGCCAAGATGAGATAACCTTTGACCATTTCAAAATGGCGGAGCACCACAAGAGTCGTGAAGGGTAAAAAATATATATACTATTCATGATCTAGAAAATATACAGCATATTATTTACCTTTTGAGTTTTGATAAATCCTTTTTCTTGCTGGTGCAGATGACTTTAAGCAATCTAAAATAGTTTTAGCTAAATAACAGGTCTGGATCTCCATCTTTTTACCACATTACGACAACAAAAGCACTTGAACGCAACACACTGGTAAATACCAGTTCACAAGTGGAAACTATCCTATTTTCCATAGCATGTGAACGCAGCATAGGTAACAATGTGTAATTAGACCAAAGGTTCAGTTTGTCCCAGAGTTTGTGAGTTTTGTGGATTTCAAGAGGAGGAAGATCAGCTGCAAACTGAGCTTAGAGTTTTCCACTCTTCATTCACATGCTCACAAAAATGTGGCCATAAAATTTGGGAACATTTAAAGGAGTTTGTGTCACGAACACAGGTCACAGATATCCAAAAGCAGCAGTTTATTAAAGGGTAATCCAAATCTCGTAGTCAGGCAGGCAAGGGTCAAAATCCAACAAAGCAGTCCAAAACAAGTAAAAACAAAACACAAACAAACTTGAAAACAGACCTCAAAGGTGCTGACATGAAACAACGACTCCGTACACATACTAACACAGACAGGGAATATACACATCTCTAACAAGACTAACACAGAACAGATGGGAACAATGATTATGGGGAACAGCTGAGTGTAATGAACTGATGAGTGACAGAAGTACATGACACCATGGGGAAGGAGGACATCTAGTGGACACCTGGGGAACACAACCCAACACTGTGACAGTTTGATGCTCATGTTGTGCTTTCAACACTTTTTAAGCTGCTAAAAATCTTTGCAACACTACCCGTCTCAACAGCTGCTGTTGAACGCTCATTCTCGAAGTAGAAGTTGGTGAAAACTAAACTTCGCAATCCGCGTGGACAAGAACGACTCTCTGATATTCTTGCTTCTGGCCATTGAAAAAGATCTGGCCATTGAAAAAACATCCCAATCATAAAAGATGAGATTATTAAGATTTTTCAGAACATGGTACCAAATAGAAAGCTTTTGCCATCTACAAAAAGTCTAAATTGTATTTGAGCGTGTGCCGTCTTCTCTTTTAATTGTTAATTTAATAACCGGATCATTTGTGTTAACAAGCAACCACCCCCCTTAGTACCCCTTTTTTTGGCCACTGCCCCTCAAAATGTCTTTGCACGGCCCTGAGCACGTTCATAGAGTCTGCCGCACTGCGCTGACAATAAATACAAAATTAAGGATAATTTTTTGGCTTCAGATTTCGAGAAAAGATACCCGTAGTGTATAGCAACTTACGCAATATGAGAGAACCTCATAGAGAACACATAAAACATATAAAAAGAAACTTACTGTTTTGAATCGAGCCACGGCAAGCAGATAGCGTTGAACACTGGCTGGTTATGTATTTTCTCAAATATGTATTTTGGATCATTTTTAACCCCAAAAAGCTATGGACAGCAGCTTTAAGGATTGATATAACCCACAATTGGCTTTATGCCCAGCTGCACTACTTCCTGAACTTCAGCCAGCTCCTTGTTTTCTGTCTGCCATTTTTGGCCAAATTGATTAATTCAGGTGTGTCTGATTATTGTTGCCATGACTACTGAGGTCAGGTACACCTGAATTACTCAATTTGGCCAATAATGGCAGACAGGAAACAAGGAGCTGGCTGAAGTTCAGGAAGTACTGCAGCTGGGCATAAAGCCCATTAGATTAGAGGAGGTGGATTTTTGGAAAGGGTGAAAAGATATTTAAATGCTTTTGTGTCAGTGTGCTGCCCTCGAGTGTTTGATGCACGAATTGCAGAATACAAAGCATTGTTCTTTGTTACCCCTTTTTAAAAGGCAATTAAAGGTGAAAACTTATTTTTTACACTTTAATTTAGGTTTCAGTATCTTTGCGGAGACTTTCCACAGACGTAATGATCTTTATACTGTACAAACTGTATTTTCTATCCCCTAACCCTACTTCTACCTCTAAACCTACCCATCACATAAAACACATTTTTACATGTTCGAATAAGCATTGTTTAGTATGTTTAATAATCCATTTCCCTCGTGGGGATTGCTGGTAATCCAGAATGTTGGTGATCTCAGGTTTTACTATCCTTGTGAGGACATTTGATCCTCACAATGTTGGTTAAACAAGTCTACACACACACACACACACACACACACACACACACATGAGGAAGTAACACAGGGTCACATGAGCTCTAAGGTCACCTTCACACAATTGTGCCAACATACGTACGGGAACAATAGTGGTTAAGTATCTGTACTCATGCACATACACACTACTGACACACTCCTTGTAAATTTCAATGATTAACTGCAAAGATAAAGAGAAGGCAGGTCTGCATAAACTGGAAAGAGGATATGAGCTAGAAATATAGAGAAAGGAAAAGGACAGGAAAGACAAGTCAGTCCACTATTGGCTGCTATTCATTGCACTTACATGGAGGAGAGAGCTGGACAACCTAGGACGATTGAACTAAATGATGGCTCACGCATGCCAATACTGGGCTTTGGAACATGGAAGCCAGAGGTAGCATTCCATTTCTATAATGGCCTCATACTGACTACACAGATAAATTCAGAACAATCTGAAAAAAAAAAAAATTCACATTGAATTGACTCTCAGATGAGCATTCACATTTACGTGAAGGGGACATTAAAAGGGCTAGTTGTCAAATTGGGAAGTTATATGGAAAACTAGTACAAGTTTTGTTGCACAAATACTAATTTTTAATTAGTAAACTGTATTTTTTAAATTTAGTAATTTTTATGTTGGTTTCAATTATTATAGTTATAAACAATACAAATTGGCTATTCAATGGCAGGTTTACATTGTGACAACATGCCCCATCTCCCATTTGTGTGTGTAGAATATGCTTGTGTGTTATTGTTATACATGTATTTATTAATTGCTTGTCTTTCCCTGTATCTTTTAATTTTGTTCGATTTTTTCCCCTGTCTTAATTCTGTGATTTCTGTTTTTTAATACATTACCAACATATGCATTACACGTTTTCAGGACCAAAGGACAGCCATCTTGTAATGTTTAAAAGTGTGATAGTGGCAATGTTTTAATGTTTTACAACATGGTAAACAGGCCATTGGCTCAGATATGTATCAAAGGGCAGTTGAGGCAGCGATCGCTGCTGGATATCGGCATATAGATACAGCCTACTGCTACGGGATTGAGACAGAGGTGGGGAAGGCCATCCAGTCCAAGATTCAGCAGGGCATCATCAGACGCCAAGACATGTTCATAGTTAGTAAGGTAGGTTTAAATTATGTTGGTGATCTAAGGTGAAATAGACACATAAAAGGAGCAAAACATCATTCATGCAATAATGATGCCTCTTTTCCAGCTGTGGTGTACTCACCATGCTTCTGAAGACATTCCAGTTTGCTTAAATACATCTTTAATTGACCTTCAGCTAGACTACCTGGACCTCTACCTAATGCACTTTCCAGTAGGCCTTAAGGTAATACAAGAATCAGTGACCTCAAAATTCTTTGGACACTTAAGTCACACTTAAAAATAATTGTATCAATGCATTTGATTCATAAAAGTATTGAGAGTGCGTAGACTCCCAGACTCCCAGTGCATAGGGAGCTTCATGGAATGGGTTTCTATGGCCACGCAGTTGCATCCAAGCCTTACATTACCAAGCGCAATGCAAATGTCGGATGCAGTGGTGCAAAGCAAGCATGCCACCACTGGACTCTTCACACTTCTCTATCTGCCAATCCAATGGACAAGTCTGGGTTTGGCGGTAGCAAGGAGTACAGTACTTGCCTGACTGCATTGCGCCAAGTGTAAAGTTCGGTTGGGGGGGGGGGGGGGGGGGGGGGGTTAATGGTGTGGGGTTGTTTTTCAGGGGTTGGGCTTGTCCCCTTAGTTCCAGTGAAAGGAATTCTTAATGATTCAGCATAGCAAGACATTTTGGACAATTTCCTGTGTGGGACTTTGTCCTCCAAAAAACTTTGTGGGAACAGTTTAGAGATGGCCCCTTCCTGTTCCAACATGATTCCGCACCAGTGCAAAAAGCAAGGTCCATAAATACATGGATGAGTGAGTTTGGTGTGGAGGAACTTGACTGGCCTGCACAGAGTCCTGACCTCAAATGGATAGAACACCTTTGGGATAAATTAGAGCGGAGACTGCAAGGTCTTCTCGTCCAACATCAGTGTCTGACTTCACAAATGTGCTCCTAGAAGTTCAAAAATTCCCAAAAGCTGTTATAGCTGCAAAGGGTCAACTCCATTTTAAACCCCATGGATTAAGAATGGGATGTCATGTGAATACAAAGGCAAATATCCCAAAATGTTTGGCAATATAGAGTATAATATGTCATTCATCCATTTTAAGTGCGATTTAAGAGCCCAAATAGTGCCCAAATAGAACATACATGGATATCAAGATCAACATCAAATGTATTAGATCCCAAACATGGAGTGTTACTCAGTTATCTAAAAAAAATAAAAACTGTAATTATGTAGCCTTAGCATCTGTTACATTTTCAATCTACAAATGAACCTTTCTTGTATTCAAGTGAAAATATACTTACTGTTTGCTTTATAAAAACTTACAGAAAATGGGCGATGACCTTTTCCCAGAAAAGGATGGGAAGATCCTCACAACTGACATAGACTATGTTAATGTCTGGAAGGTAACGTTAATGCTAACCGCTAACACTCAGCATATAATGTAAATACGTTGCTAATGGTGAGTGTGCTGACGTCTCTTTCAGGGATTGGAGGCTCTGAAAGCCACAGGAAAGGTGAAAAGTATTGGTGTGTCTAACTTCACAATCGAGCAATTAGAGAGATTGCTATACGTGGCCAAAATCCCACCTGCTGTTAATCAGGTGCATGTCCATCATATGATTGTCCTCGGACTCAAAATGAATGCCAAAACAACTTAATTAATAATTTCAGCGTTCATATGGTCAGAATTCTCCCAAAAAATTGAGTTACAAGCTATAATTTCAAGTTTTGAGAGGACGATAATGATTTTACAAAGGAATCTCAATTACAGTAATTCTGACGCACCTTTAAATAAGGAACTATGAGTCAGTAAACAATATAAGCATGATAAATTCAGTATAGATAATTGTTATTAACAACATTGTTAAATAGGTGTTTGTTTTACAGGTGGAGCTTCATCCTTACCTTGTTCAGTCTGATTTGATTGACTACTGTAAGTCTAAGAACATTGCTTTGACAGCCCACAGTCCATTTGGCTCACCAGGGAGACCTTCAGAACAGTAAGTTTAAACTATGTAAGTGTACAAAGACAATTTAAACAGAAGTCTAAATCTACGCAAATGAGAAGGGTGGGAATGATGAGTCCATTAAAAACATTTCTTAAAGGTTATAACCTTAACATTAGATGATATTTTATATATTATTTATTAATTTTCTTATGTCTGCAGCCAAAGAGGAGATATGGATCCCAGGACATTACTGGACGATCCTGTTGTCGGGGATATTGCCAAGAAGCACAAACGGACCCCTGGACAGGTCATACTTTTCTACGATCACAAGTATCGTATTGTATCGTAATCCACTTTTTTTCTTTTTGGGTTTTAATTTTGTATTTGATTATCCTGCAGGTTCTATTGAGATATCACATTCAACAGAGCATTGCAGTGATCCCGAATAGTATGAAACCCCACCACATTTTAGAAAACACAAAGGTACACTTCTGAATATTCCATTTATTCCAATATTAGATATCATTTCTCCAAATCATCTATGCTAAATTATTTCTTGTAATTTTACATTTTCCAGTCACATTTTGTGTGTATTATGTGTCTATGTGCAGATCTTTGATTTCACTCTGGATGAGGAGAATATGAATGCTCTAAGGTCTCTGAATCGAGGCTGGAGGGCCTGCATCATTCCACAGTAAGAGAATATGTTATTCTACTTAATTTTTTTTTAATGTAAAACCATGCAATATGAAACTGTAAGCACTTCTAAAACAGTAGGTGCACATTAGTTACTTGTTTATAGTTTCAAAAATAAAACTTTTATTTTGCATTTAAACAATTTTGTGTAAAAATGTCTTCGAGGGATAGTTCACTTTGAAATTAATTTTTGAAATGTTTTAGCTTACCTCAAGGGCATCCAAGATGTTAGGTGTCTTTGTTTCCACAGTATTTTCAATTTTGACATTTTTTGGTCAAACCGTTGTTGTCTGTCAGTCAGTGATACACTGGACGTTAAGGGGGTCCTCCCTCGGTTCACCTTAAAGAACATGCACAGAGAGAAGTCAAAATTAAACATGATTTAATGACTCGTGAATGTAAGTACACATTGATGGCCTAAGACACGAAACGAGCTGTTTGTGTGAGAAAATGAACAGTATTTATATAGTTTTTACCTCTTGTTAACAGCCGTCGAACTGATCTGAATCAGATGTCCAACTGAACCGAACTGAACGGTCTTCTCCAGACGTTACGCCGGAAGTGATCTCTCGCGCATGTGTGCGTCACGCATTGTTATATACAAAGGTTAAACGCACTTGGATCGGTGTTCGTAGATCGACTGGTAGAGACTATTTTTCAAAGATGGCTTCTTCCTGTATTCGCGAAGTTCACTGTGTGTATAAAATATCTTCTTATTAAACTGTATGGACACTGACAAAGTTCTCAATGCTTCGGTTTGAATGTAGAGACCCTTTATTATGTTACCATGTTAGTGTGGGACTAATTTGAGCCTTGTTAGTGGTAATAACAAGCGATTTTTATTTGTCATTACTCTATGCCCTATATACTAGCGTTATAGGCTAAACTGTTTTTAGAGATAAAACTATTTACATTCGGAAATCATGAAAACAAATCTCAGATAACGGTTGACTAGGTAACAATGTGTAATTAGACAAAGGTTCATTTTGCGCCGGAGTTCTCCTTTAACGTCCACTCCAGTGTATGACTGACAGACAACAACGGTTTGACCAAAAGATGTCAAAATTGAAAATGCTTTGGAAACAAAGACACCTACATCTTGGATGCCCTTGAGGTAAGCTAAAACATATCAAAAATTAATTTCAAAGTGAATTATCCCTTTAACTGGGAAATCAAGGAGATGTTTAAAATGCAGCTCATTTTTTCCCCCAATCAATTCTTTTGGAAATGGAAGGTTAAATCCATTACATTGTGGGATGCAGTGACCGTAGCATACTGCATTTTGGCAATAGTAGATAAAGTGGGTATTTTTGTTCATAGAGAATTCACTGTATACTAACTAAATACTATAAAAAACATGGCTAGCAAGCAGTTAACTAGATGTTATTGCTCCTCAGATTGGAACCACATCCATTCTACCCCTTCAAGTGAAATCATGTTAGTCTAGGATGATTAAAAACCCACCTAGAGAAAAATGACCAAGCACTTCTGGAGGTTGGAGTAAAGAAGATCCTGTTTTTGATCGTTAGATTCGGGTATTCATATTTGTATAGATAACCAACAACACTGGAATAAAATATTTTTGAAAACACTCACAGATATCATTACTATAACTTGATTTTGTTTAAAATAAAGCATCAAGGCATACATTACTGTCAAAAGTTTGGGGTCTGTAAGATTTAAACAATTATTTTTTTTAAAGAAGTCTCTTATGTTCACCAAAGCTTCATTTATTTGATCTAAAATACTGTTAATACAGTAATATTGTGATTATTACTATTTAAAATAAAAATAATATATATTCTAAAATGTAACTTATTCCTGTGATGGCAAAGGTCAATTTCAGCCGCCATTACCCCAGTCTTCAATGTCACATGATCCTTGATCCAGAAATCATTTTATAGGCCAATTTGATGATCATTTCTTATTATTAACAATGTTGAAATCAGTTGTGCAGCTTAATACTTTTTGCAGAATTCAAGAGACATTTTTTTGATGAATAGACATTTCAAAAGACCAGCATTTAGTTGAAACATATTTTGTAACAAAGTTTATTTCTCTAGGTTTCTTTTAAATCTTACTAACCCCAAACATTTAGAATACTATTGTACTTATTCATAAAATCATAAAATGAAGAAAATGGTGGAAACAGTCATGTAAAATGGTCACAGGATGTTTTAATTGTAACTGAGAACTCCAAAAAAGCTTGTAACAAAAACTACAATATTAGTTTGTGCTTTTCAACTTCAATTCATAGTCTAACACATCACAGTATCTCATGCTGACCTCTTTTTAAAAGGATCTGAGAGGCAGTCAATGGCATCAGGCTTATGGCAACCTACATTCAGAAAGTCAATACTTTCATAAAAGTGTTCTTCAGATCACTTATTTGAATCCAATAAGGTGCCCCAGACAATCACCTGTGTTGCTGTTGGCTGGAATTCTGTTTGTCTCTCTCTGAGGTATGACCCTCTATACTATTGGTTTGCTGGGATCTGACAAGGCACACACACGCTGAAGCTCCAGCAATGTGCTTTGGTAGATTTGGACCCAAGACCCACTGGCCCTTGTCTGGACAAAACACTTGAGTACCCTGAGAAAAGTCCATGGCCTCCCATGTGTACCCTCCCAATACGTAGATCTTTCCATCCAAGACCGCCACCCCTGCCTCACTGTTAGGGTACCTGAGAGGGGCTATCTTGGTCCATTGATCAGTCTGCGGGTCAAAGGCCTCAACTCCCAAGACGTCGAAACGCTCCATGCTGTCCTCATGGTCATCACTGCCCCCAATGACATAGATTCTGTCCTCCAGAGACGCCATAGAGTGCCAGCCTCGCGCCAACATCATGGCCTGTCGTTCGGACCACGTGTCCGCAGTTTTAGGGTCATAACTTAGCATGTCACGTCTGTACGGGCCGATCTGGTAGTCATGACCCCCAGAGATGTACACAATGCCGTTGAGAATAGTGCCCGCATGACCATATGTGAATCTATGAAAGAAGATTAAAACATTTTTTTAAAGAAAAAATAATAACATTTGACACAGTTAACTGAACATAAGAAAGGATGAGATTTGAGCCACTTTTATGGTATTTTTTGTGTGAATATTTTCACAAAAGTTTGTCAGCCCCAATAAATTACCTCTAGAATCAGAATCAGTTTTTATTGCCAAGTACAAGATATACAAGGAATTTGTACTGATGCACATGTGCATAAAAATAGTAAGAAAACGAGGAATAAAAATGTTATAGACATCTATTTTAAAATGTAACTATACATTAGTGTAATGAGTGCAAAAAGTCACAGTTTGAACTTTGAAGAAGGTGCAGCATAGCAGACTGAGTAGTGTGCGATTAATGTAACGTGTAGGAAAAAGTGCCAGTTTCAAATGGAAAGAAACTGTTTTTGTGGTGTAATGTTCCATGGTGGAAAGTCAGTCCAATGTGAATTCTGTTTAAAAAAGTCTGCATTTATTTGATTTTCTATTTTAACATGTAATGTGATGCAAAGCTGAATTTTCAGAATCATTACAGTCTTCAGTGTCACATGACCCCCCAGAAACCATTCTAATATTCTGATTTGTTGCTCAAGAAACATGTATTATTGTTGTCAATTATGAAAAACAGTTGTGCTGATTAATAGTTTTTTGAAAACCATGAACATTTTTTATTAAATATTCTTTGATGAATAGAAAAGTCAATTTAAATATTAATTTGCTTAAAATATCTAACTGACCCTAAACTTTTGAACAACAGTATATGGATTCAAAATGCATATCCACATAAAAAATTAAAAAACATATATATATATATATATATATATATATATATATATATATATAGACCATTTCAAAAGATGTAAACAACACTGGTCCAGAAGCACTTCCTGTTTATTTCACATGTAAAGAAAACATCTTAAAGATGTTTGTTTAACTTTTTGATTCAGTTTTAAATGTTCTGTTGGTTGTATTTTATCCCAGCTTTTATGTAGTGTTAAAAAACTGAAACAGGAAGTGCTTCTGGACCAGTGTTGTTTACATCTTGTGAAATGGTCTATATATATATATATATAAAACAATCAACCAACCTGGGCAATCCTGCAACATAGGCCCAGTAGTCCTCAACAGGATGGTACACTTCAACAGTAGACAAAGCACCACTATCATTGCGTCCCCCAACGGCTATAAGACAGTCTCCCATGGTTCCCAGATAGAAATCCACACGCCGCTGGTTCATAGGAGCACCCTGAAGATCAGCAAAACACTCGGATTAACATTCAAACTCTGGTACAATTCTCTACTTGTCTCATGCTTGCTAATTATTATTATTTTAATTAACATTTAATTTGACATTTTGTATCTTCATCTATATTATTAGGCTAGATCTATAAAATTAAAGGTCAATAACTGAGACTTCACTCTCCACCATTTTCACCTTCTCCCACACCCCTCGACCAAATGAGCATGGGCGATTCTCTCGTTTTACTGCAATTACTCATCATTTGAATATCATGCCATCATCACTGTTACTAATCCTGCCAAACTTCATCTTATTTTCATCGACCGCCCACCAGGTCAACTAGGCAGCTTCCTGGAAGAGCTGGATGTGCTGGTGTAGTTCTTGGTGACTTCAACATCCACCTAGACAAACCTCAAGCAGCTGATTTCCTAACTCTTCTAGTCTTATTTGACTTGTTTGAGCACACTCCTGTGACACACAAAGCAGACAAAAAGATAGGTCCCATTCTCAGAAGTCCACTACATCTTTCTGACCACTTCTTTCACCAGTTCTCTCTGCCTTCATACTCACCCCTGAATCCTCCTCTGGTCACCTTTTGCTATAGCCTCCATTCCCTCTCCTACACACTTTTCCTCACATTCTCTGCATCCCTCCCACTAACCACTTCTTGCTCCATTGAGGCCAGAATCTAATTTAAAGGGGTCAGTCATATGATGCCGTTTTTAAGAATGGCATCATATGATGGTTGTCGATATGATGGCATTATGTATATGATGGTTGTGTACAGGCACTGCCAACCCACATTTCAGTACAATCAACTTGTAAAAGTGCATGTACCATTATATTACGACCCCTTTAAAGGGATAGTTCACTTTGAAACTAATTTTTGATGTTTTTGATGTCTTTGTTTCCACAGCATTTTCAATTTTGACATTTTTTGGTCAAACCGTTGTTGTCTGTCAGTCCTATAATGCAGTTTTAGGGGGTCCACCTCAAAGAGCATGCACAGAGAAGTCAAAATTAAACATGATTTAATGACTCGTGAATGTAAGTACACATTGATGGCCTAAGACACGAAACGAGCAGTTTGTGTGAGAAAACGAACAGTATTTATATAGTTATTACCGCTTGTTAACAGCCGTCGAACTGATCTGAATCAGATGTCTAACTGAACCGAACTGAACCATGTCCAACGTATGCCGGAAGTGGTCTCTCGCGCGTTTACGTCACGCATTGTTTACACGGAGATTTCGGAAGTTTAAACATATTTAGATCAAAATCGTCTTCCATTGCCATTTCCCATATATCTAAATATGTTTAGTGAAAGGAAACTTCCGAAATCTCCGTGTAAACAATGCGTGACGTAGACGCGCGAGAGATATCACTTCCGGCGTAATGTCTGGAGACGGTTCAGTTCGGTTCAGTTGGACATCGGATTCAGATCAGTTTGACGGCTGTTAACAAGAGGTAAAAACTATATAAATACTGTTCGTTTTCCCACAAAAACCGCTCGTTTCGTGTCTTAGGCCATCAATGTGTACTTACATTTACGAGTCATTAAATCACGTTTAATTTTGACTTCTCTGTGCATGCTCTTTTAGGAGATCCCCATAGACTTCCATTCTATGACTGACAGACAAATGCGCTTTGACCAAAAAAAATGTCAAAATTGAAAATGCTATGGAAACATAGACACCTACATCTTGGATGCCCTTGAGGTAAGCTAAAAAATATCAAAAAATCATTTCAAAGTGAACTATCCCTTTAAGGTTTTAACACAGGCTTATAGAACTACCACTGGAACAGCACCCTAAATTCTCTCCTGCAAGTTTATACACTCCACCAGCTAAAGTCACTGAATGAGCGACGTCTTGTTCCATCACAAAGTCACTCTCCAAAACTTTTACCCTCTTTGTTTCTCTCTGGTGGAATGAGCTGCCAAATTCCACCCAAAACCACTGCCATTTTTTTACGAGGCAGCTAAAGACACTTCTTTCACGAGCACTTAAGCACTCAATACCCTTAAACAATGCACTCACACAAACAGAATTCTCAGCATTTCTTCTCTATTTATCCCATAAATGTAAGCATCTGAGTCTGACAATAAATCATTGTTCTTGACCTTAGATGGAGACAGAATTATGTAGTAATAAACATAAAAATAATAAATAGTAATAATGTATTAATCAAATTTAAATAAAGAGTGATTAGCCATAGTCTGGTTGACTTTTAAACTGTCATTAGTGAAGCTCATTACCTTAACCCACACGTTGCTTCGGGGGTCATATCGATACAGCAAGTTGCTTGCAGAATCTCCCCCATTGTCCCGTGAGGAGCTCCCACCTGCAGTGAA